TCTTCAGCTACACGAATATTTATAAAATCACTATGTAAATATCTTATAATCACTATGTAAAACATATTTAAACAAACCTTTACAACAATAGCAGTTTTTTTACATGTAACATAATAAGTCCCATATGAGTTCATAAAATTATATTATGATTAATGTTTTAACTTAATAGGTAATGCAAAATTTAATATTATATTCTATATAAATGTTGCAAAACCACAAACAGATACATTAAAAAAAATATTTTAAATAGGTACCTCTGCATTACATGTATATTTTTTAAAAAAACACTAATTTGATCTACTCATACCCGAGTTTTTGAAATTAGAATTTAAAATATACATATGTATATATATATAATACATGGTACATCCATTTCTTACTACATTTTAAGAAGGATATCAAAAAATTGCTTATTTTTAAAAATTTTAATAGTGTGACATCTAGTTTTTCTTGTCTTTAATTCTGCAGTGTAATATCGTTTCAAGCATTTTGCTATGCTGTCATTGTTGAGTCGACTTGTCCGGTTTACACGACGATTTAGTTAGTACTCTGGAAAATAAATACAGTGTAAACTCCATATAACGACACTCGATTTAACGACAAACTCTCTAAAGCGTCGAAATCATTTGACTTTGGTTGGTTTAGCTTGTCTTCCATACAATGATACACTCTATATAGCGTCACAGCCACTCTCAATAACGACAAAATTAAGTAATTAAAAAGTACCCTTTAAGTTGCTAAAATTAGTAAAAATGCGCAGCTGTGTACGTTTTTTTGTCGCTTTGTTATCCTAGCCCGCAATAAACTCCACTGTCGTAATCATGCATACCAAACTTTCTAAGAAATTCGTTCTTCACCAATACGCCTCAATATCGTAAGATATGAATAAAATACGTAAAAAATACAACAACATTACTGGTGCAGCAAAACACGTCAAACAAAAACAACAGACTTTATAACATTCTTTTTTATGTACATAAGTACTAACAGTAGTCTGAAACAAACTTTGTCTTTTTCTAATTCTGATTTTTCTACCCTCTATTTAACGGCAACTCTCTATAACGCACTAAAATGCACGGTCCCTTCAGTGTCGTTATATAGAGTTTACACTGTATAAAGATTTATTAATAAATGAGTTACACTGAAGATGTTACGAATTGGCCAGTTAGAAACATTGTTAATGTAATTCTTTTTTATTTCAGGTTTAGAACTCTTTAGTAACAAAAAGTATATTGTATAACTAGTTTTTGCCCTCGACTTCGTCCGCGTTAGTTTGGTCAAGAGTAATATATGTAGGTATAGCTGACCAGGCGAACTCTATTCCGTCTTAAAGGCCATAAATAATCAGGTTTTTCCTGTTTCAATCAAACAGAATGATTGACATATTAGTTAGTTGTCAAATCTAATGTCAAAAAAACGTTTGTATGGGAAATAGAAAAGTTCTGTTTTTAGGGTTTTCCCGGCAATTATTTCAATTTTTCTCACCTTTTAAACCTTCCCTGGACTTCTAGGAGTATTTCAAGACTAAAATTAGCCAAATCGGCTCAGCCGTTCTCGAGTTTTAGCGAGACTAAGGAACAGCAATCCATTTTTATATATATAGAAGATAAGTACATTCATATGTCCTATGTTTTTGTGGATTGGCAAGAAATCTAAAACTCTTGTTGAACCTTACTGAAAAATAATTTTCGGTAACAGATTTGTAAAGACTTTCGTTGTACACTTAGTCAACAACAAAGCTATGGTTGCAATGCAAATTGATAAACCCAGAATAGTATCAATTAATATATTTATGCTATAATAGTCTTAATTATTATATAACCTTGATAAGATTGCATTTACCATATTTTTTCCTTTTATATAATTATAATATAATATTGACTTAGTCATTATAATATTGACTTGATAAATTTCTTTTAGAAAGAGAATTTAATTTTTTAATCCCATATTTCTATGTATGTACATATAAGTGTTATATCAATATTTCTATTGTTCTAATGTAGATATGTAGTTTGGTGTAAATGTATCAAATCAAGTCAGAGTTCAAGTAAATTATAAGTTTATTGTAGAATTCAAAATATGATTTTCTATATTAAAGATAAGTAATGAACTGTCTACCAAATTCTTTTTTTATTTGCATTACCTATCATTTTGAGGTTTCTCACCCCACTAAGCTTTACTGAGAAGAAACCTGACTACGCAAAAACAATATTGGATTCAATAAGAATATTATACGGATATTGTCTTACATTTACGATTCTTAGAAATCCTTTAATTTACCACATCATATTACCTAAAGGTCAAAATATCTGGACACAGCATGATTCGTAACCTTTTATAAAATTTAAGATATAAACCTGTAACATTCTCCAAAAAAAAAGATACACTAGAATTTTTAAAACTTATTTAGCCTTCAGCTGTTTTACAATTTCACATGAATAAATTATTAAGAAATATTATTCTTATTCAACCAAAATGATATTTTAATGACATAATTTTATAAACATATGTGAATTAGGATTTTAATCATATGATTTACATAATATTAGAATTTATTACAAGAAAACAGCGTGAGATCTCCCTTCATTTATCTTCTCAAGAGATAATGGAATAGCAGAAAAGAGTTTTGACTGTACTTTTTACAATTTAGACGTTTTCGAGAAAAGAGTTATAATCTTAGACTTCTTATAATCATAAAAAAAGATGGTTACTTAGCTTAAATATATTAAAATCACATAACCTATATTAACAAATATAACAAAAAAATTAACAATTAAATTATTTATTACTTTATAAATATATTTTGATAAGTTTTAAATATGAACATACCTCATCGAATAGCAGTAAAATAAAGGCAAAAGTGGCCTTTTTTAAATAATACAAACTTATGAACGTCTGTTGAATGACACATGGAAATTATTTTCAGCGAAGTCATTTTGTAAAAAGACTAGACTCTGATGCGAGAAAAAAAGTCGCGCCACTTTTGCCTTAAAAAAAACATGATAACTTTGTTTCTAAACAAAGTGTATTTATTTACAATGAAAATGTACATGGTCCGTGGAATTTGATTCCTAGATTGTTCTATCTAGTTACCTATGATGCGGCAAACGACACGCTTCTGTGAACAAATGAACAAAAGCAGTGAGTATTATTTGAATAGTGTTTACACCTACGTAATTTATATTATATCAAGTTCATTGAAAAAAATTCAATATTAAATTATTTTTAACATAGGAAAAAATTATCAAGCTAAGATAAATAGGAGAAAACAGTTATAAGGTACAGATTTTATCTTCAAATATGTTGGCCGTTACGATTGGATTTGAAATTAACATTTTTAATTATATTCCGATGTCATACTAACAATAACATCTAAGATAGAGTTAAACATGGATCGTATGGCGGTTTCATATATTTATATGATGCTTTGTCATATATATACGCATATTTTAATCATATGCAAGGTTGTTGAAATAACAGCACGAGCTTTAGACGGAAGTTGGAAAAATTATGTATGACACAAGTAGGTACATACTTTATATACCTTTGATCACGAGCAGACGAGATGAAAATTAATTTCCACGCTAGGAAATTAAGAATTCTTTGGCTGAAGATGACAAATAACAAGAAAAACTAGCAGACATTTTCATCTCGTCTGTTGCAAATTAACCAAAACGTCTGGAGTATGTTGTATAAAACAGAAAATATTACTTTTATTCATAAAGATAATTATTAGTACATAGTAGGCCAATATTTTTAAGTATTTGTTCTCTCGTCATAGTTAAATTCCTTAATAACATAGTATCATTAAACTACAAACTGAAAGTTTCTAATTTGTCTCTCGTAAATATTAACTGGATAGTTTATATAATATGAAATACTGAAAATTCCTCGTATGTAGTGTCAATTCAAACATGGAGTAAGGTATTGGCAGAAATTACGTTCCGTTTCTTATAAGACCTGTCAATCGTCATTGATTTAGTATTAGATATAGCATTAAACTATCAAGTGTTCAATTTAGGGCAAACATTTTAAAATTTACTTTATGTTTACATTGACAAATTAAGTAAAGAAGTAAATTTAGCGTAATTGTATTAATTTTATAAATAAACTAGCTTTTGATCGCGACTTTGTCCGCGCTAGTTTCATAATTAGAAATGTATAGCTGACCAGACTAACAGATTTTGGATTTTATTATAGCAAATTATTATTTTTAGGTCGATCGAATTCAAAAGTATCCTATGTCCGTCTCTTGATTCCAAACTCCCCACAAATTTCCAACCAAATTCGTACAGCCGTTCTTTAGTTATGAATAGTAACACAACTTTTTATATATGCTAGTATATAACTAGCTTTCCGCCCGCAGCTTTGCCCGCGTGGACTTCGGTTATATCGCGTTTCCAAGAGAACCTTTCAAAAGTCTGGCATAAAAACTATCCTATGTTCTTTCTCAAGGTCAGCTCCATCTCTGTACCAAATTTCATTAAAATCAGTTCAGTGGTTTAGGCGTGAAAGCGTAACAGACAGACAGACAGAGTTACTTTCGCATTTATAATATTAGTAGGGATACAGACGTAACTTACTTCTCGGTACGCTCTTGAGGGTTGATTTTGATATGCTGTCACTGTTTTCTGACTCAGAGCAAACTTGAAAACTCGTTTCTGTAAAAATATATAAAAACTAAAATAAGTTCAATGGTGAAAGTGAATTTTACCTACTTATAGTTTAACTATTGACGGAAACATTAAGAAATGCCGACGTTTTGATTATAACTTTAATTTACGTTTTTTGAATGCAAAAAGTTCACAAAAGAGATGTTCTGTTTTTAATCTTTACGTATCGTATTTTTTTTTATAATGGTATATACGAAATTTAACAAATATAAGTATGAATTTTTTTGTTGAACCATTTTATTATACTGTAGTAGTTGTAACGTATATTTTAAATTGATTGGTTTCATAAATATTAATAAGTGGTACATTCATTATATTAGTTTGTTATTATATTTTATCTTGTTTCGTTGTCCTCACTACCTGTATCATATCTGTGTTTGATGTGTCTCGGCACGTCATTGTTTTCAGCGTGACCAAACGTTCGAAAGCCGACAGCCTATTGCTTAAGGACTTATCTCGTATAACTCTGAAATAATATAGCTATAGTTTAGGACAAAATTATTAAAATACATACTTAAATATAGAGATAGAAAGAATCGTTTGAATGTTTCAAATAAAAGTGTTGAATTCTAGAGTTTTCGTGCAAAAGAAATCCGTCTTAGAACTTGGTCGTACAAATATTATTTTTTCATTACGCTAATATATCAGTATAGGTCCACAGTAAACATCTTACATTGAATATAAAAAAAAACAAATGCAACATTTATTATCAAATCTTTTTATAAAAAAATCCATATTTATGATATTTGTATTAATTATTTATAATATTACTCACCATGTTTACTATTATTTCTAACATGTATCGGAGCGCTGTATATTCTGTTCTGAGCGTTCATTGAGTTCTCTTTAACATTCGCTAGATTACTGTGTGATGTGTTAGCTGTTATGTTGCCACTTTCAGATTTGTCGACCGTTATTGAGTCGCGGTATCCCGTTAAGTTGACATTACTGAAAAACATATTCGATTAAGTTTCAAACTATCAACTCCTTTATACGTTACTTGGGTTATTCGCTCTGGTTACTTCATGTTTGTAGATACAGATATACATACTGCTTACGGTTTTAAAGTAAAACTCCTTTACGCACGCTTGACTTGGGAGTAAGCTGGTGAATGCGTTACGAAAGCGTTACGAAAAGTGTGATCGAACGAGGCGAACGACAGTGAGAGGGAGATGTAAGTAAGTGAAGATAGACAGATAGAGTGTGTTACGGTTGTATATTATTGTAGGGCCAAGGAAAAGAGCCGTGCGTGCGCACATTTTCTTTCTCGCTTAATTTCATAGCTAGTGCATGAAATTATATATATATATACTTTTTACTTTGAAGTAAAAACTTTATTAAAAATGCTTAAATTCAGTTAGATTCTTGGACATGTAAGACTTACCGTTGCCTCTTAACTAGAATATAAGCACAGCAGATAAGACAGACGGCTAGGAGAATTGAGCTTAAGACTATCACCAACATGTTGATGTCGAAGATTTCCGACGGAGGACCAACTTCACCTGTAAAATAATAAAAAGGGTCATTAAATAAAAAATTTGGAACTATTTTTTGTGTCTCTCTAAAATCATGACTTTCAATTTTTAGACTCAAACATACGATATGTTTTATTCTATACAATCCCTTCTAATATTATAAATGCGAAAGTAACTCTGTCTGTCTGTCTGTTACGTTTTCACGCCTAAGCCACTGAACTGATTTTAATGAAATTTGGTACACAGATAGAGTTGACCTTGAGAAAGAACATAGGATAGTTTTTTACCCAGACCTTTGAAAAGTTCTCTTGAAAACGCGATATAACCAAACTCCACGCGGGCGAAAATTGTTATACATATAATAAGTAACGCTCCTCTTTGATTCACTAAAGTACCCATAAATTATTTTTATAAAGATCTGTAGTCTTGTATCGAGTCTTTTTATTGCTCGTGAACATTTGTAACAGTCAGAGCTCTATAAATTCGGTATCGTGAGTCATTTTATAATCACATTGTTACATTCTGTGAGGTATCAATCATCGTTGTATATTAGTATCACACTAAAAACCTTTAGAAATTTGTAAGAACTATTAAATTTTTCGTTTGTAATTAGTATTTTTTTAAGTTATTCATTCTTCTGAACGTAATAATACAGTTATATCACACATTAAATTGCTAACTCACTGCCATCCTCGTTCTTAGTCGCGTAGTTGTAAACGGTGGTGACGCTCCCCGCCTCGTTGGTGGCTGTGATACGTAACACGTACCAGGTGCCGGCGGACAGGCCTGATAGAGCGAACGAGCCTCGATACTGGTAGAGGTGACCCGTGTATGACTGACGAGGAAACATTGGGAATATAGTGTTGTAGCAGGGAATATATGTTAGATGAGGCAATAAATAAATAGTTTTGTGTATAGGCAAAATAGTTTCGTAGGAATATTGTATAGGTCATGATGGTATATTTGATTGAAAAGTGAGTAAAGAAAAAATTAAGTTTAAACGTAAATATAAATATTAATTGAAATAAGTTATTTTTAAAATTATGACACAACACGTAAACAAGTGAGATATTGGCTTAAAAATAATTATTTTTTTTTGTTAATCCTTCACTAATTTGCTACTTCTACGATTATAATAAAATTATTCACGCATATCATCACAGGTGTATAGTTTTATATATCCATAATTTATATTGCAAAGGTTATATGTATAATGTCCAAGTTATTAAAAGAAAGAAATAGCATTACACCATTGTCACGGGCAAATAATTGCTACAAATTGCAGTTTTTGTACAGTTAATATTCCTTATATTCTTTATTATTCAAAGCACAACTAAGTACATCCATAAATTTTAAGAATCTTATATCAAAACACATTTCTATTAAATCGCTATAATGAGCGCTCGTTTTCTATCAAACGTCATTTATATAAATCATTTTAATACTAGTATGTTACATTACCAATATATTGATAGGCCTCATCCAGCTCCTCGCTCCAAGAGCCCGGTGTTCTAGCTCCAACGTTCGGAGCTCACATCCCGCGTCATCCCAACCAGCGGCCTGAATGAACACGTGGGAACAGTTGCTCCAGAACCACTCCGTTGACGTAGGAGCGATGGGAGCTAAAAGATTAAGATACGAATATTAATGTAGCGTCCTCGACCTATCAGAGACCACTGCTGAGCAAGGCATCTTATTAAAGGAAAGTACCTACATATGACTCGAAAAAAATCACATTGGTACTTGCCAAGATCGAACCCGTGCCGTATACGAGAGATGGGCCTTTAAGCACTAGGCCACCAATGACTTATTATTGTTTGGTTATTAGTATTATAGCAAAAAAAAGGATGATTAAAATATGATCACAGTTTGCAAGAAATATCGAGTGATTATATGTAATGTGATTAAATGTTTGATGAAATTATACATAATATGAGAATATATGTGTATATGGAAATCGACGTCATGTATGTATTAAGTATACTTACGTCCACCCAACGTGCTAACATCCAAATACGCCGGTTGTGATGTACCAACTTTGTTAGTAGCTGTGATCCTCAAAGAATATTTCGTGCCACATTTAAGACCAGTCAGCGCATGTTTTTGAACTCCAGAGAGGTTTGATAATTTATTAGGTACTTTGTTTGGTGACCACACTTCTTGCCACGGACCGCTTGCTTCTTTCCATGTTAGGCTATAAGCTGAAAAATGTAGGATTAGATAATGACTATCATTGTCAATTATTTGTCCATTTTATTATTATATTAAACAGGATAAAGTAACAACTAACATTCTTATTATTTCGCGTATAGTACGATAGTCGAGGCAAGTTTATTTTTGAATCTTTTTCAGTTATATCTACGAGTACTTTCATAGACTTAGAAGTTCAATTATTGAGTTGGATGCTAAAATTTAAATTCTTTTATCAACACATATTTAATTTCATTTCCATACTTCACAGACATGAATATATCGCTATTTTATCCTATAGTGATTCTTAAATCCCTACTAATAAGTAATATTATAAATGCGAAAGTAACTCTGTCTGTCTGTATATCTGTTACGCTTTCACGCCTAAACCACTGAACTGATTATAATGAAATTTGGTACAGAGATAGAGTTGATCTTGAGAAGGAACATAGGATAGTTTTTATCCCAGACTTTTGGAAGGTTCTCTTGGAAACGCGATATACCGAACTCCAAGCGGGCGTAGCTGCGGGCGATAAGCTAGTGTATTCACAAACCAACTTACTAATTTTCTGGTTCGAGCTACGGTTACTGATGCTATTATAAGGTTGTTCCCATTCAACTAATATCGAGTCTTTGTATGGCGTGGCTCGTAGTGTTGGTGCTTCGGGCAGCGGTAGAACTACTACGGTGTATCAGAATGACCACTGAATCAGAACCATACAGATTCTTTGCAAGACATGTGTAGTTGCCGCTCAGGGATTGGTCTATGTCTGGAAATCATAACAAAAAAATATTAATTGATTACAAAATACATGAACTGAATACAGGTTTTTGGGTGCCCATTAAGTAATACAAGTCTAAGTATAATATGTATATGTAGATACAATAGTTTTTAATTCCGTATACAAGAATGTTCGACAAGCGATAATCAAGTTACCTAAAGGTGTTGTGTTTTGAAGTATGTTGTTATCCCAAAAAATATAGGAATTTTGGAAGGTTTGAGATTGAATTAAATGTACGGAAAATTCGCTTTGTTTGGTTTTAACTTCAAAGGCACTTCATTAATTAATCGTCATTACTCTATCAAACAATAAATGGGCCTAAAAATATAAAATTATTTGTATAATCTTCTATACACCACTTACTGTTAATCAGCAAGCTGTCGTCATGATTCCTCGTGAATCTCGGATGATGTGTTATTATATGTATTATGTTTGTGGTACCACACAGTGCGAGGTGGTGGTACTCCGACACATTGACACACGAGTAGTAAGGATGAACCGACTCCCACTGATATGGTGCCACCTAGTGATGCGACTCCGGCCACAACTGGGAACAAATAATAGTAAGAGAAATTCAGAACATTCCACAACTAATGACATCTAAGATTTTCGCGTATATTCATTTAAATAATGAATGAACATTATTCCTGTATTCATTTATTATTTAAATATTAAAAGGGTAACCATTGTAGCAATATACCTAAAGAAGTAATGTAAGACGTGCCTTAGGATTTTTTGTTTAAAAATAGTAAAATTTTTGAATTTTTACACATTCATTTCGACAATTTTTCGATATCTATGTACCTATCTTGATTATGGTTATACTTACATATGTATATACTGTCCAAAAGTTTGCAAACACACCTATCTTTAAAACAAATGAATGCCGAGTAATAGCGGTAACAATAATCTCCAGTTTTACAACTTTTACGACTGTTTACACAAACGCAAAAAGGATTATTATACCACATATATCATATTTAACGAATTCCTTAATTTTGACGAAACCGGTTTTTTATGGCTTAATCTGTCACCAACTTAATTTAGAAAAAGATGTGGTTTTATTAGTATTGGGTCGTTTTAACGTCTTCATACTCTATATAGTCGCCCGTGAATTAGCACGTGAAAGTTGTGATATTAACATTGTCTATATTCGAAATATATCAGCTACTGCTCTGATCGTATATTTTCTTTTGAAAATGGCAAAACCCAAGCAAATAACACTTGAAAACGAAGCGCTATTTGCACTAAACGAGGAAGGATAGAGTGAACGTATATATTATATACATCGGTATATGTGTACCTCTATTAGCGGGTGTATGCGAGGCTCTCCTACTAGGCACGCCCTCGCCAGCCGCGGTACTTCCAGTCACCCACACTTCATACGATCTTCCGCTCGTCAACTCCTTGATCTCAGCTATGGTCCGAGAAGGATCCACACGACTCGTTAGAGGTGGACCAGGGCTGTGCAAAAGTTTGACTTTAAAATAATAATTACCTTGACGAAGGAGAAAACAAGATAAACTGTACATGAATTTGCAGTTTTTCTTTTCGAAACCGGTTACAATGTAAACTTTTAATAATATATACGGTGTGATTATTTTAAAACTTTGAAGGGTAATAGACTATTTCACTGCTAGTTCAGTAATAGGATCTTAATCTCATATTATTTTATCTATAGGTAGTATATGACAGTCGATTGAAATATGTAATTAATAACATTGTTAGCAACTTTTGGTAACACTCAACAAGTTGTCAATCAATACGAACAATGAAGGTGGCACTTCACTTGGCGTTTATTTATTGTGTTCGGTCAAATAAGACCATGTGAATGTAATGTGTGGATTATTCGTCTTCATTTGACATATTTGCACAAATAAGACACATACACAAAAAAGTGAAAACGCGTAACGACGTGTTGTTGGCATGCCAAGTGTGGATGTCGTGTTTGCGCTATTTGGACTACGTACAAATATTTGGACAAATGCGGCGAATACGCAACGCCAAGTGAAGTAGCATCTTAAGACTAATTAAAGTATTTATGTATTTAAGCAGTAAATTTACCCTGAAGTTGGTTTCACATAAACAGTATAATATAATAGTTCTCCGTTACAATGTTCCGGCTTCTTCCAACAGACCAACAGTGATGTAGATGATAGAATAAGAACTTTGATATCTGAAGGTGGATCAGGAACTGAAATATACAAGTTGCTCATTATATTATATATTTATTTCCCTGAATATTGGAATAAATATTTAAAGCAACAAATGGGTATTTCTCAAAAAATTTCGAAATTGTAGTCCTGGGTCTTTGCTGCTAAGTCAGATGATTTAATTATGGTTATATTTTTTTCATTTCAATTTATGCTATCCTATACTACTGTCGCTGATAAAGAAAACGTGACATTATAAATAAAAAAATAAATATAAGCAGCAGCAACTCCGAAAATCATTCCCTCATCTTGTCCCTTACTCCAAAATCCTTTACTAAAAAGTCTGTTCGTCACGAATGAAACAATATACTACTGTGGACAAAATAATTTAAGACGATGTCTTAATAATAAACCTTTTATAGCTACATTTTACATTTCTGCAAAAAAAAACCTTTAAATGTACAAAACATTTTTTTACAATATACCTGAAAATTCGACATTTGATAAGAAATACCCAAATAGGAAATATATTGGATTTTTGTTGGAATAATGAGATGTAAGCCTTTCGCGAGTATTAATTTCTAATTCCTGAACTAACGCAGACGAAGTCGCGGGCGAAAACTAGTAAGTAATAAACAAAGAAAATTCCTCGAGATGATGATGTTTTGGTGAAACAGACAGACTAACTGATATATCTGTATTTTTGAGTAGACCACTGATAACTGTTTCTTGTTTTCCGGATAACTTTGACACTTTCAGAGTCCTTGTATCAGTGTCCGCTAAAACTAAAAAAAAGTATTATTTTCAATAAATTTGCATTTCCAACATTGCATAATTAATGAGATCTATGATTTTCGCGAGTACTCATTTAAATGACACTAATATTTTCGGATTTTACTTCGGACTCACATCTCGTCTGCCCGTGATCAACGTCGGGATTATGTAGTTTATAATCAAAAATAAATAGGCGAAGTAAAATTCAAAAATATTAGTTTCATTTAAATTGCATAATTAAGTTGAGGAGTTCTTAGGAGGACTTACTAGATGATCCTTTTTGTGGCACAGCCTTTACATGATAGCCTGTTATGATTCCATTGTGAGTGTCTTTAGGCGGAGGTAGCCAGGAGACGAATTAGTCTCCAGGATTGTCAGTTTGTTCAATTTGTATATTAATAGGTGTTGACGATGGAGCTGTAAATTGAGTTAAAATTATTGTTTATTTTAACACTAAAAGAATGTTGATTTAATTGTATATTACATGTAATTAATATAACTAAAAATATATATCGAGAGTTCTAAGTAAACATCAAGATTGTGTCATTAAATTTTAAAAATTTAATTTGTGATGGAATTCATGTAATTCGAGGTTTTGTTATAAATGGGTTGTAAAAGGAAATACTTGTCTTCAACTGAAATTAACATGCTAGTGATAACTTCTTATGGGAGGATAAACCGCTTCATAATATTACTAAAAAAGTTCTATTATAAGATTTAAGTAATAACCTACACAATTTATATACAAAATTTATGTATTAAATAGTTTAAATTATAACTTTTGTTGAGCGTCCCGAGGCGCACAAATGTTTTATTTTTACGAAGATCAGACGTTTTGAATGTTACTCGTTAAATTAAAAGTGTTATTGGTATATTGCATAAATTATGTTTTAAATTTAGCAGTTTAAATAGTAAATTTAATTTAAAATTAAAATAATAACTACCTTCCTCGTGTATTGTAAAATGTACAGGCGCCGTAAAACGACTGACACCCACTTCATTACCAGTTGCTACTCGCACCGCGTAAGCCGTCGCAGGTCGGATATTCTGTAGTTCTATCGTTTGACGAATGTCGTTGCCTTTCTTTGTATATTTTTTCAAAAATACATAGGTATTATATATACATAATATATGTTATTTTTCTAGTATTAATAATCAAAACATTGATAACTTAATTTAATAATCGAAATTTGGCAGAAAGCCTTCAAAAGGTAAAATTTTTTTTTTGTAAAGATAACAATCTACCATACCTAAATACAATAATATATTTTAATAAAATATATATTTTTTTCTCATTATTAATTAGATGTCATTAATACAACTTATAATTCAAGTATTCTTTATACGATCATTTTCAAGTTTTTATTCCATATTCCTTTCATTATATATTAGTATAGCACCTACCTCGTAATATTAAGACTAACGGCGTATTCCCAGTCATCGGCGTAATGAGCGGGCGTGTGTTGTAATGTGTAATACTCGGCGTGTGCCCCGTCTCTCCATGAAACTGATGCTGTACGAGATCTAACTGATTCTACTCTGAGTTCGGCTGGAGGGGTGGGGGGTTCTGTTGATAACAAATATTAATATATATTATTTACGACCAACTGTGTGTAATAATTAAAGTTATGTATACGTTTTTATTAATTTGTGATATTTTTGATAGCGAACTCATGAACAGGTAAGCACTAAAATTGTCGAAACTTCAACAGATTTTTTTGTAATGTAAAGATGAAGGGAACGTTATTTCCATACTATTGGGTAGCTTAAAATTTTGAGCTTACAAAATTGTTGAATTCTTTTTAATATTTTTATTATTTAATTATTAAAATTTATCTGCTTTTTTAAATATCAGTGCAAAGTTCTTAGTTTTATTAGATTGGTGAAAGAATTCAATGTCATGTGGTGTCAAATTGCAAGGATATTCTTGACTTCCAAAAGAAAATAATTGCAGTATTTGTTAAACAACTCAACTTACCTAATATAGTAAGGAATGTGTTGAAGCTAGCTGATCTATACGGATTGCTCGCTCTACATTGATAGAAGCCAGCGTCGGCTGTTTCTGAATACTGTATATTTATGGTGCTGGTTACACCGAGCGAGGTTTTCGTCTCTGAGTGTTTTGCTCTGTGGATAATTTAACTCTTAATTGATACGATTTCTTTGAAGATTAATGAGCGATATATGTACATTTATGAAAGAGCATTTTTATTTGTTTTGATGATTAGATTTTATACTACCTACTATCATTACGACCTAGTGTTTATTGAAATTTAATGCTGCTAAAAATTCATTGAACCAAAAGTTTTTTATATTGGATTTTCATTTTATACATACTTATGTGAAATATTTTTGAATTATAGATTCTTCGATTATTTTAGACTTCTTCATCTGAAGTTATTTCCTTTTTTAGATAAAAAGCTAATGTCAAAAATTTTAACATTATGCCATACCTGTGACTTTGGAAGTCTATATTGTTTCCATTATGGTTCCATGTGATTCTGATAGGGTCATCACCAAGCGCGCGACATTCCAAAGAGACGGCGTGGCCAAGTCGTGATGTCACATTAGCTGATGCCGTGTCAAAGTGCACTGGTTCTAAAATATTATACATACATACGTTATCTTATAAACAATAAGTAAATAGGTTAGGGTATAGGGAAAAAATTAGCGATGTTGCTCATGATTTCAAATGCTTATCAAAATTCAAAATAAAACAATTAGTTTTCAAAAATATTCTAATAAATAAAAGTAAAAATACATGAATCTGCGGTAGCTCATGATAAGGACATAGTGATTTGACGTTGGCACAATTTAATCATCACATGAAAATAAAAATCTTACTCTCTATATAAATTACATACTATTGACTGTCATCCACACGGTTTTGCTCAATGGTGTTCCAACACCATTTACAAGACTTAGGATTCCTCCTCCAGCTAGTTCAAGGACAGGTTGCCAAGTACCCAGAAGAGCTGGTAAAAAATGGAATATATATCAATTCACTTTAATATACCGAGATCAAATATTCCTGTTGTTTTGTACCATCTTTTTTCTTCCAATGTACTTGTGGTTGATGATAGCCGCTCGCACTGCATGATACAATGCCTTTTCTTCCGAGCAAGAGAGACGAATTTGATGGTTCTTCTAGCCATTTGGGCGCAGCTGAAACAAGGAAAAATAGTTACAAAATTCATAATTTTTATATAACTTTTACATACATAAACAAAAACAAATCTCTCAGAACAATTATTATAAAGTGCAGAATTCTCGAATATACCTTCAAATTGCTTGAAATTCTCTTTCCGTCTTTCAACCATTCGAAATGTATCTGTAAATCACCGCTTCGTAAGTTGCAATAAATATTTACTATTTGACCTTCCTGTAGGTTATTACCAAGCAGTAAATCCTCCAAAATAGGTGCCTCTATAACTTGTATTTCAAACGAACGTCTAACCATTTCAGCAGACGGTGATGTCACTATACAAGTATGTATAAACAGCACCATTATCTTCTTTATTTACTTCAGGAATTGTCAATACTCCGTGTATATTGACAATACTTCTTCTTGATTTTCTTTTCTGGTGATTTTGTGTTCTTTTATAACGTGTTTGAAAAAGATTGTTTAGATTAACTGTTTTGCCTTTGTGTTCCCAATCGATTTTGCTATAATCAGAGAGAGATAGAATTCATTTTATTAAATATAAGTCATCGAATAGATATAAAATGTGTCTTAAATATATTTTTATCATAACATAAGTTCAAAGAAATAAACTTTTCAATTAGTTTTGGTTTAGTTTGAAAGAAACAAGAGCATAAAGCGAGTTTATCTTGTTATTAAATGACGTATTCAAATTGCTAAACTGCGTCACAATGACAGTTAGAAATTAATTACCAAAAAATAGACGGCATAAAACTCTAAGTAAGAATGAGATATAATACTTTCGTGAGTATTCATTTAAATGAAACTAATAACTTCGGATTAATAACTAACATCTCGTCTCCCTTGATCACTTTTGCCGCAAAGTAACCTAAACGTCGGAATACATAATTTTTAAATATTTATTATAAAATACTCGTAGTAATCCGAAAATATTAGTTTCATTCAAACTCTTAGTAATGCCTCATCTTAGTAAGTTTTAATAATAATTACCTTATGGGATATCCATAGAATGTACATCTGAGATTTATTGATTCACCACTCTGTGCCTTAACTGGTGGTAGTGACCGAATGTAAGGTGGACCTGAATAATACAACTAATTGGCACACAGTTTGCTAATACACAATAATAAATTAAGTGTGAAATTCTGTTAAATTTTGTATATAAATACAGAAAAGCTGATTATATTTACCATAAAAGTCCAGTCTGTTCTCACTGCTGGCTACATGTTCACCTTCTTTCGCTATACAAGCATATAATCCACCATCTTCTACTCGAACCCTTGTTATATTGAGTTGGGCTATTACGTCAAAATTATGTCAAAATATTTAATTGTCACACAATCTAGTAAGTTATGCCTATTTGTTTATATTGCAGAGAACTACGAAATATATAGAGTTTTATTTTGATGTTTAAAAGAAGTATAAAGTTTATGCTGGATATAAACTCGGAATAGCTTTAAACGATATCACTGACGCGGAATTGCATTTGGAAACGGAATGTCATGCGGTCTCTGTGTGATTGGCACGATCTTATCTAGCTAATTGGTTTTAATTTTGGGGATAAATTTCTTTGAACGATTTAAAAACTTTATGATATTTTCATGAAAAGTAATTAATTATTCATGGATTAATTTGTTTAAACGCCAGAAAAAAAACTTTTAAAACCTAAAGTATCTTCCATCTAATAATCAAAAAATTTGAAATATTTAGCATTGACAAGAGTTATTTTCTTAAAAGTTTTTAAAATTAGATTCATACGGGGCAACTATATTGTAAATAGAACGAAATTTAGGACAAGTCAAAAGACACCTAAAAAGTATCAGATTAAAGAAATAGCTTAGAAATATGCTATACCTAGGATCTGTGTTGCTTGAAACAGTAACTCCATCTCGCTCCCAAACAAACTGAGGAGGTCTATCACCAGTGGCGGCACATTGCATACTTATCTGAAAATAAGGTAATAATAAATCAAATAGCAATAAGATATTCTATAAAAATGACCAGAAAAATTCAACATATGTAAAATCATTTTCCAATAAATAAAATATGAAAACAAAACATGACTCGCGCCAATAACATGCAACAAGCTAGGAATTTTCCTTTGAGCAGCAATTTGCTACTGATGTTGTGATTTTGACGTGGGATATTTTGAATAAATATTATATTTTTAAAATTTACAATTTAGTTTGGGTTTTATGGAGAAAATGATTAAATAACTTACTTCGCCACCGGGTGTAACGGTTCTCTCAGTAAAATGTTGGGTTATAACCAGCCTATTATCAGTGAGAGCTCGACGTAATCTATTTATCTAAATCTGAACAAAAATACGTTTCACATTAGAAAGAAATACGAAAATTTTTCTCTTTTTTATTCCTACATGATTTGAATATATAAAATTCTTCTATATCAGTTATGGAGATCATATTTTTATATACCAACATGCATGCGGATTTAAGTTAAGGAATCCTGTGATGTTAAAATATGGTTTCATTAAAGCAATAATTTTAACATGATGACGAAGATAATTATATGACGTTATGATGTAGCAAAATTTATTTGTAAAGAAACAGAAAGCTTCAAACTAATCCTAACTGAAGACTACGTTATTTTTCTTGGGCTTTTGTGTGTGTGATGGTATGTGTGTATGTATGCGTTTGATGGTATTTGTGCGTGTGTGTGCGTTTCTGTTTTGTGTGTATGCATGTACATATGCACGGGCATGTGTATGCGTAATGAGTGTATATTTTGTAATTCCCACTTCAAACAAAATGCAGTTGAAAAAGGACAACTATCCCTAGCAGACACTCTATTTACGGAATGGAAATTACCATCCAAGTTGATTTGATTCCAAAGCTGTTAGGTCCAATGTTATTAACAGGTTCATTAACCGTTACACGAATCTGTCCGGAATATAATTATGCTGGGTCGAATTGCAATTTGCTCTCCGTCTGGGAGACGATGTTTGGATTACAATCATTGAATTGGCCGTTTTTAACAGAAACAAAATCTTGTGCTAAATGAAAATAAGTAGCTTTTTAATTAATGTTATTCTTAATAATATATTATAGTTAATGAATTGATCAGAATACAATCGTATTGTATTGCATTGTATTCAGATTGAAGACAAGAGAAATCGGCTTAAAGATAATAATTTCTTAATATGGCAATTTTATTATATGTCACGTGATTTTTACATTATTGGTTTATATTTTAATATAATTAAACGCATTGTACGTGTAACGAACTTATAATCTTAATATATTTCATATCACTACTTAAATCTTCTATTTGGATAAAGCCTTTAATAGTTTTTTCATAAATATTATTGAATGTTGACTCTTCAACTTTTTATAATCCATAGAATGTTTTATTAACATTTAATTGCTATTGACGTATTTACAAAGCACTTTGTTGGTTGGGTAGAAAGGGGAGCTTGGACGGTGGAGATGAGCGTTCAACGCGCGTTAGATAGGGCCCTCTTAAACCTACACCTGGGTCGCAAGTCCCAGGCACTGTTGAAGCTTCTCTCACTACAACAATAGACCTGCACCCGAACGGTGAATACATTGAATGCTAAGTTTCGTCTTATAATATTGTCATTATTTTCGGAACACATATAAAAACAAAAAAATTAAACACCGTTTAGCCGTTCTGATGATTATGGCTATTAAATTTAAAGACAAAAATTGGAAATTATTTCTCTATTTAGCTTTAAAGTATTAAATCCAAATTAATTTCTAATCCTAGAATGTAATCGTTCTGCCGATAAGATCTGAACAACTAATTATATTACCAAAGTTAGCGTTTCGGTCTAATGGATTCTTGATATTAAAATAATTAATAGATAATGGTTTAACTAATCCTTCAATATGAATAATATACTTCAATATTATAAAATATTTTAATAAAATACGAAACAATTTGTATACTATATACATATATAACGCCTTATAATCTTTATATGTACATATATAAAAAAGTCGTGTTAGTTACACTATTTATAACTTAAGAACGGCTGTACGGGTTTGGCTGAAATTGGTGGAGAGATAACTTAGAACAAGGGAAAGGATATAGTATACTTTCATCCGATTGAAAAAGAAAAAAAAAAGTTTATCAAATCCAAAATCTTCTTATCTACTGTCTTTAAGGTAGAATAGACTTCGCCGGTTAGCTATACATTCCTTATTCTGAAACTAACGCAGACGAAGTTGAGGGCAAAAACTAGTAAAATATAAATACTATTTATATAATACGTATATTACATTACTTAGATTACAATTATTCTTTCAGCGGTAGTATATGTATGAAATAGAAATATACAATAGATTCCAAAGTAAGATATTTCAGACGATCTTTTCAGAATAGCAAATAAATAACAGTCATAAACAATCTGTTCGTGACGCTGTCAGTATGGAGTGGCCTTTACGGTGAAGGGCGCAATATGTCCAAATAATTCCCCTTACTTTGTTTTGCGAAATATTAGTCTTAATACAAATGAATATCTTTAAAATATTATTTTAAATATTATAGCAGTAAAAGTAATTTTAATAATGAGAGGCTAATTTATATTGAATAATAATAATTTACATTGAAACCTGACATTATACCTTGAATTTATCTGATTCATTAATATTACGTATTTCATTAAGAATTGATGACCCTTTATTAATAGAATATGCTCTTTTTTGTAGTTAAAATCAGTTATAATTAGGTTTTCACTGATATATGCGAATAATACGTTGTCTGCGCTTAATCTTTCGTATTCTTGAGCGATAAAAAACATTCTACTCATTTGTACATGTTTGTGACACGATAAATAATAAAGTATAATTCAATACGATTTTCTGAAATCTTGATTCATACGACCTATTTCTTTAACAAAAGAAAAGCAGTCTATTTCATACAAAAAAATCCAAAGTCAACTGAGATAAGTCGGTTTTATACGACTGGAGTATCGCAAATAAATGGTGACTATAAATTATCTGCTAGTGACAACGGTTACATTGAGTGATCTCTATATAAAAGAATTCATTGACACATATATATTGCTTTTATAAACTTTGTATTTGTTATATTCAATATCATGTTACTGTTTATTATATACAATGTGTATGAATTCTATCTAAAAATCATAATTATATTAGTTTTTTATTTAATATTTTCATAGTATAGGTTTTCGTTAATTTATAGTTAGTTTATTTTCATTGTCAGCTTAAACTATTAACATTTCAAGGCTTTGTTTAGCAAATGCATTGTGTAAGAAGAATTATTTATGAGAAACTTTCAAACCGAACGTACCTAACAGACTCACGTTATTTAGTTTGACAATAGTAATTGAATCTTGAGACGGGTTAGTTCCACTTTATTTCAGATTTAACAAAGTTTATTGGTGAAAGAGAAATATGAGGATAGGCTGTTAAAAATACAGGAGTACATTCTTATTATGAGTTTTAAAACTATAGTCAGTTTGGTAAACTACAATCAACTAAATAATAATAATGCCCACACATAATAGTGTAAGTGGTGGTGGCCTGAAGGTTAAGGGCCCGCCTCTAATGCATGAGAGTGTAGGTTCGATACCTGGCAACTACCAATGTAACTTGCGGGTTATTTATGCTTTCTAAGAGTATTGAGATACCACTGGCATGCAGTGACGGAAAAAATCGTGAGGAAACTTGGACTTATAATTTCCAATTATAAGTTTGAAATAGCCATTTCTCCATTGAGAAGAGGCCTAGTTTAGTAAAGGGTTTCGAATAGTGTAAAAGCAGATTGTTTCATCTACTGTTGCAATATCAATTGTTATTAATAACCTGATGTATTTGAAATTGTTTACAATATATTCAACTTTCAAGCAAGTGGATGTGAGGGTAAGATTTAGTGGGTCATAACAAACTAAACTTTGTAGTTAAGTAGAACCCGAACGCTTTTGTCGTCAATGTAGGTTGTGTTATCGATGCTAACCCTTTGTGATTTATCGTTTCTATGTACGAATTAATTAAATAATTCCTTTGAGTAAATTTAATTAATACCTACATATCCTCTTTATATTTTTTATTTGGATGTTTACGCATTCACAGAACATAATATATATTGTGATTTAATATAAAAATATATAATAGTGTCTAAAAATATGCCTGCAGTCTGTTTGAGGTAGAATTTCGATGTTTAAAATTATTTACAAATTTAACCGGTACTGTGAAATTCTATGCTATTACTAAATGTTTTTGAATCATTAATAAAATCTAAGAAACACTTTTGTTAAATTGAATTTAAATAATAAAAACGATATTAAAATGGTGTAAATGAAATTTGTAACTTACGTTTTAGTGAATGTCGCTGATTTGTTCCAAATAGTGCTTTGGTTGTAGATCTGGAAAAAGAGAAAACACATTAATATATTAATTAAGGACATCTAAGTATTAATTTAAATGAAACTAATATTTTCGAGAGAATGAGTGGCTTAACTTGTCTGCCCGTGATCACGGTCGCTGTAAAATAATCGAAATGTCAGGTAATTTAGCTAATATAATTAAATAACGGGTAGTAATAAAAAAAATGAGTGCGTACAAAGTACATTGCCAGAAGTGAAATTTCTTTGGCGAACTAATGTATAAATCTTGTTTATATTTATATAAATCTAAAACGTTATACGACATTCGCTCTGTCTCATTTTTTCTCTCAATCTTTCTCATTTGCTTGCTCCCTACTCTCACACCACGGCTAGTTGCTTTATGCTACGTTCGCCCTATCTTACTCTCTCTCATGCGCCTAGAGAAGTTTCACTTCAAAATATTAGTTTCATTTAACATTATGTACTATTTGTACATAACTTCATTAAATAATACTCGTATAAAAATTTTGTTTAACATATATACTTCCCATTTTTTTACCTCGTCTCATACTTTACAGCATGTATGTATTTACATAACATTAAAAA